CAGCCGGTCTATAAGTGGACGTGGGCCCCACAGACGTCCACACCACCCCATGGCTTCTGCTGCTCGCTGGCCTGGTGCACCCCTGGCCAGGGCTGTGTGCTGCTCTCCAGGGACTCACCACCAGCTCCTAGAAAGGCCTGCTCCAGAGAGGGCCGAGGACGGAGGGCCCAGTGAGCTCTCAGGCCAGGGCGTGAGCCATGAGAGCAGAGCTGGGCCAGGCCTGTGGCGGCAGCTGACGGGCCCCCTCAGCATGCAGACTGGGAAACCAAAAGCAGGAGCCCAAAGCCTCATCCAAGTTGGGGCTGGAGACTCTGACTGGGCAGCTCCCCATGGTGCCAAGGGCACAGGGGCAGAGGCCAGGAGGAGGAAGGACAGGCTGTCCCCAGGAGTCAGCATAGGTCACACGCACTGCTGGGGGTGGTGCCCAGAAGGGCTGGGGAAACCCAGAGGACTGCTCGGAGGAGGGGCCCCATTCGGAGAAGGCATCTGCTGAGCGCTCACTGCACTCTCAGTCCCTGCAGAGCGGCTCCAATGCCCTGTCCCACTCGGCCCTTCACGGTCAGGGCTCTGTCACCTAGACTCAGTCACCAGACAGGCTTGGCCCAGAGCAGGCAGCACCAGTGTCTACTTGGAAGTTCTCACTGAAGAGCAAGTGGCCATCTGGCAATGGGAGGAAGGAGGTGGGGCTGGAAGAAAGGGGGACGGTGTGGAGGGAGGGGAAACCCAGGCTGGGGGGCGGGGCAGGGCTGCAGCAGGACTGCGGGCTGGGGAGGGAGCTGGACAGCGGAGGGAAGTGGGCTGGTGGGCCAGGAGGCAGGGGCGGGCCTCGTCCCCTTCTGCAGCAGAGCAAGCGGCTAGTCTTGAGTTGCTGGCCACCTGGCCGGCCTGCCTCACAAAGGGCCCGTTACTGCTTCTGCAGCAAAGGAAGCCCCTGGGGAACCAAGGCTGAAGGACTGGCTCTCCTGACTTCAAAGGGGGCCTCCAGCCTGCGGAAACCCACACCACCATGGGCACGCAGGACCCTAGGCTGGAGCTGGAACCTGAGACCAGCCCGCTGCCAGGGAGCCATCGCTGGCCCTACGGGTGGAACACCAGAGCTGTTGTCCAGGGCCCACAGATGGTGGTGGGAAACGCAGGCACCCAGCTCAGCCCACGGGCTCACCCCAGACCAGCCACAGACATGGGAGGACAGTGGGATGTGGGGCCAGCCGAGGTATACGTGATGGATACAGGTGAGGCCTCTGTTCAAATTCCAGCCTGGCCACATTGCTGGCTGTGTGCCCTGAGTGGATCACTTCACCCTTCAGCCTGTTTCCCTGTCAGTAGTCGCTCATTCGTGGGAAACTCCAAGAGGCAGAGGCAGACTCTGTCCCTCACTGCTGTACACCCAGACGCAGTGATGGGAGGGGCTGGGCTGGGCTCTGGGCCTCCGTCCCCAGCTGTCCTCCTAGACTGCTCCTCCTCCCAGCCCTTGTCTGCCCGGCCACAGGGTGCAGTCACATCCCTGCTCCATGGCAGGGTCACATGAAAACCTCAGGATTCCCTGCACTGTTGGTAGGAGTTGCCAAGTCGTACAACCCAAAAGGGGGGATATGTTACTCACCTATTGCTGTGTAACACACAGCTTAAAACACATTTATTATCTCACGGGGCAGGGACAGGAAGCCGGGAGTGGCTCAGCTGAGTGGGCTGCCTCAGGTCCCTCTTGAGGTTGCAGCTGGATATCAGCTGGGGCTGTGGGCCCATCAGAAGGCTGGATGGGGCTGGAGGAGCCGCTTCCAAGATGGCCGCTCACACAGCTGTTGGCCCCGGTTCCTGGCCACGTGGACTCTCTGTGGGGCTGCTGGAGCCTCCTCACGACATGGTGGCTGATGTTCCCTAGAGCAAGCGATCTGAGTGAACTGGGAGGAAGCTGCGACACCTTTCATGATCTGGTCTCAGAAGTCACACACCCTTTCTGTTGATTAGCTGTAAGTCACAAAGTCTAGTCCACATTTGAAGAGGAAAAGTTAGGCTCCACCTTCTGGAGGAGGGGCGTGTCAAAGATTTTGTGGACATATATTAAAACCACCACCACAACTTAAAAACCATACTCATTGCCATCAAGTTGATTCTGACTCATAGTGACCCCCACTGGGTTTCCGAAGCTGTAAATCTGCCTCATCTTTCTTCCGAGGAGCAGCGAGTGAGCTCAAACCAGCGACCTTTGGGTTAGCAGCTGAACGCCTTAAGCACTGCACCAGCAGAGCTCCTCTAAAACCATCACGGAGTCTCTCTCCAAACTACAAATGCCTTTCCCCTTTGGCCCAGTAACCTCCTCAGTGTTCATTCTGCAGGTGTGTCTTGTGGGCGTGTTCAGAGCCGTGTTGTTTTAGGGGCTGCGTACAGGACCTCCCAGTGTCCACTGGCAAGGGTCTAGGTACAAAAGCGGCCGTCCATTCATTCAACAGAATGCTGTGCAGCCGCGTGTGGCCGGGTTGAGGGACAGACCAACAGACAGGAAGGTCTTTACGGACTGCTGTCCAATTTTCTCCACGATAGGCTGTTTAAGGAACAAAGCAAGGTGCAAACTTGAGAGTGCAGTCTGCGGTGTGGCTCAGCAGGGGTTGTTGGTTCACGTTTGCTGGTGTTTCCAGCCAGAAGCCAGGCAAGAAAACAAGTTGCGAGTTCTTCCCCAACAGGAGCTGGGCAGGGGGAGTGGGCGGGGCAGGGAATGGGAAGGGCGGGGATTGGACAGGGGGCGGGGCGGGAAGTGGGCGGTGTGGAGAGT